GGGACACATGTTGATGAAGAAGAGACATGGAAGAAGAGGGGACCATGTTGATGTAGAAGAGACAGAAGAAGAGGGGACACATGTTGATGTGAAGAGACATGAGAAGAGGGGACACATGTTGATGTAGAAGAGACATGAAGAAGAGGGGACACATGTTGATGTAGAAGAGACATGAAGAGGGGACACATGTTGATGTAGAAGAGACATGAAGAAGAGGGGACACATGTTGATGTAGAAGAGACATGAAGAAGAGGGGACACATGTTGATGTAGAAGAGACATGAAGAAGAGGGGACACATGTTGATGTAGAAGAGACATGAAGAAGAGGGGACACATGTTGATGTAGAAGAGACATGAAGAAGAGGGGACACATGTTGATGTAGAAGAGACATGAGAAGAGGGGACACATGTTGATGTAGAAGAGACATGAAGAAGAGGGGACACATGTGATGTAGAAGAGACATGAGAAGAGGGGACACATGTTGATGTAGAAGAGACATGGAAGAAGAGGGGACACATGTTGATGTAGAAGAGACATGAAGAAGAGGGGACACATGTTGATGAAGAAGAGACATGAAAAGAGGGGACACATGTTGATGTAGAAGAGACATGGAGAAGAGGGGACACATGTTGATGTAGAAGAGACATGAAGAAGAGGGGACACATGTTGATGAAGAAGAGACATGAAGAAGAGGGGACACATGTTGATGTAGAAGAGACATGAAGAAGAGGGGACACATGTTGATGTAGAAGAGACATGAGAAGAGGGGACACATGTTGATGTAGAAGAGACATGAGGAAGAGGGACACATGTTGATGTAGAAGAGACATGAAGAAGAGGGGACACATGTTGATGAAGAGACATGAAGAAGAGGGGACACATGTTGATGTAGAAGAGACATGAGAAGAGGGGACACATGTTGATGTAGAAGAGACATGAAGAAGAGGGGACACATGTTGATGTAGAAGAGACATGAAGAAGAGGGGACACATGTTGATGTAGAAGAGACATGAAGAAGAGGGGACACATGTTGATGTAGAAGAGACATGAAGAAGAGGGGACACATGTTGATGTAGAAGAGACATGAAAAAGTGGATTTTGCAAAATAGGTGACCTTTAAACTAAATGGACCCTGGTGTGTGGTGACTCACCAGGTGATGCTGAAGCTGACGGAGCCCATGTTGGACAGCAAGTCGTTGAGCAGGAAGTACCCCCCCCCTCTGCACTTCAGGTACACGTTGAGCTTGGTGAACTCCAGCTGGATGTCGTTGATGTCGTGCAGAAACAACACCAGGATCCCCACGTTGTGATATCTGAGGGGAGGAGAGACACACCGTACAGGAAAGGGCATATTTCAGATAAGATTTGGAGGAGGCTGTGGCGCAGTGGACTAGTACGTTGGTGTTCGGATCATCGGGGCACAGGTTCAAACCCCACTGCGTCACATGTCGTTGTGTCCCTGGGACACTTCACCCCAAATGCTCCTGTGGGGATTGTCCACAGTATTGAGTATGTAAGTCGCTTTGGATAAAAGCGTCTAACAAGTAATGTATTTAACTTTACTGGCATCATTCTGACATTACTCCTGCATCACAGCAGCTCCATTTGCAACAACATTAACAAAGAAACAATAAGACATAGTAGATGTTTTTTAAGGCTTACTGTACCAGACACAACTGTTGGGAAATACTGAATGTCCTCTTCCAATCTGAGAGTAACATGATAACAAGGTATCTCAACTGTAGCTGTGAACATGACAGGATGTGTGATTACCTAGATGAGCATCAGGACTGTTTGAGGCATGTGATAGCTATGTGATTAACATGATGGTTCAACATATGACAAGCATGCTCATTTCTGACGTGGAGCTAATCTGAAGTAAACATTGAATACTGCTTTCTGTTCCTCCATCTTGTGACTGTGTACTCCCCTCTCTTGGATATCAGCATGTGAAGGACACTGTTCAGGAACTAGTTGATGCTCTGTATGTGATGACTCCTTCCATTCTGGAGAGGATCACAGATACATGGATCCTGAGGTTGAAGCTCAATCCGGGGACCAGTGATATTTTCCTAACAGCCACACATTAAGGCGGCCTGCAGTACCTGAAGGCGTAGGAGAAGCAGATGAGAGCCAGAGTGATGATGTGATGACCACCATGACGGCAGAGTCCTTCCTCCAGGCGTCCATGTAGACCGTGGCGTAGATGGAGTGTCCGTAGAAGCTGCCCTGGATCAGGTAGGCGATGGCGATGTCTGCAGGCACTGACATCCCACTCTGCCAGTCTGAGGACACATTCAAACACAGACTGTGGGTGCTTTTAAAAAGGGCCTAAAAATGCATCTTTTAGAAAAGCCTTTGACTAGATTTTTAAAACCCCCACTTGTTGCCGTGCCGACGTAAACGTCGCTGCTTATTTGTTTTGGTTCAACCATTTTACTCTGTAGCACTTTGAGTTGTGTTTACTCAAATGAAAAGTGCGCTTGTAAATAAAATTGATTATATTATATTATTAAATATACTACTCAATACAGGAAAACACTGACATGGGGTTTCAGATAAGAAACAGCTTGATGAGAAGTGGGAAAACGTGTCATTATTTAGGAGCAGAAGCAGTGACGACAACTGACTTAGAGGAAGGAACGTTGGAATAAAGGGCTTTTTAAAATTGTATTATTGTCTGTAAATATATCTTGTGTATTTGTGTTCATTCTATGTGTGTGTGAGTATATGCACAACTGTTGGTTTGAAAATGTAAAGATTAAAACCAATAAAAAGTCAAGTGAAAAGAAAAAAATCAAGTCTTTAAATTAATTGAACTTGTCATGAACTGTCGAGTTAATCAATAAAACATTTTATGTATAGCAGATTTCAAACACTTCACTTCACAAAATCCTTGTTGATGCACCCGGCTAGATGTTACAAATAGTAAGTAACCCTAACCCTAACAGTTTAAGTTAAATGATGATAAAACAAAATGGAATAAAACTAATAATGATAGAAATAGGTATGAATAATCAAACCACAACATTGACAAACACTTAAACAACATTAAATGATTTCATTAACACCTGTTATTATAGTGATGTCCCTCGTCTATAGATGGCACTACAGCGACATGATACATTTGAATAGCCATTGAATTTACATTGACAAGATTACAACTTTTCAAAAGATATCTCTGAAGTCCGAAGAACGGCCATTCATGCATTTTGATAGGGATCTGAAGCCAGATGCAGATTAGAAATGAAACATGTTGTATTATTAAATCACAAGTAGAGAGCAGTGCAGCCTTATGGCGCATTTCCACTACAGCACGGAGCGCGGTGTAAGCGTGCCGTGCCCGGCTCGTTCTTGGTTGCGTTTCCATTAGGCGTAGTTCCGGCTAGCGGTACTTTTTTCACAGTTTTCTGGCTCTCCAAAATCTAGGTTCTTTCCAGGCCAACAACCGGGCTGAGTCTGCTAAACTAGTGAGAGAATCGCTGGCACTACAACAAAATGAACATATTTTACCGTGATTTCATTGTAATACACGTTTCAAAATGATGCCGAAGTAACAACATACTGATACCGGTTAGTAAAAACCATGAATTAATGCTTTGACAAGTCTGCAGACAGACGGCAGGCGAACACCCTTTTAAAATGCGTGTTTTCTGAATGGAGGCTAAGCTAACGCAGTATATGCTCCGACCGCCTACACTCACAACAACGGCCGATACAGACATAAATAAACCAGCGACTGTATTCGCCATGACACAGACAGTCTGTGGTTTGTACTTGTTTAACTTTTGTCTAGTTTCTGAACAGATATGAGAGCTGTGAGCTCTGAGGGCTAACAGCTAACGGCTGATGTTGGTTTTGTGGTTCGCATTGAAGATGACGTCACGGCTCCGCCTACACTGCGTTACTATAGTTACTGCCCCAGTTCCCTAAACTGTAATGGAAACGCAGCATAAAGTGAGCCTGGCCTAACAAGGCCTAACTATACCGTACTAGCCGTCCGAGGCCCTGCAGTGGAAATGCGCCATTAGTGTGTTGTTTCTAGTTGAGTCTCAGGAGTGATTCAATCAGATGTAACAGAGTTAGAAACGGTTCACACCAACAGACTCAGACTATCAGAGCCGCTCAGGTGGAGGATCAGTTTCTGTCAGAGAGAGTTGAGACCACACACTCATTGTCTGATGTATCTCTCAAACATGAATTAAAACCAGGAAAGGACACAAAGGGAAGCCAACGAATGTCTTATTTCTAACACAAACTCAGATCTTACATTTGTACGTTTTTAAAACTAAGTCATCTTAAAAAGTGTACATGTTTTGTTTTATAATAATGCCATGAGGGGAATAAAAACGTATATATGTTGAACTGTTGGAGGAGCATGAGACTTGGCTAAACTACGCTGCAGCTGCTGTGCATATGACAGGAATAAAGCCTTTAATGCAGTGTCCAAACTATTTCACCGAGGGCCACATGCAGAAACATATACGAAGGGCTGGGCCGCTCACTAGAGGTGAGGCATATTGCTTCATGAGTTCAGTTATCAATTAGAAAAATCCATCAAATGTAGATCAACTATTCCTGATACTTGAAAATAAATGTCATTTATTGTGTTGGCAGCTCAGAAGCTTCAGAGTGATTATAATAAGAGGAAATATGAAGGGTAGCCTATATTTCAAGCTTGTTATGTACATTTGTTATCAGGCTTTTTCTTATCAACTAAGATGTTAGAAAATTGATTCCAACTTTAATGGACTAAATTTATTTGAAAAGTGGACTTATTAACACATGAATACTACTGTATTCATGTATATATTTGAACTAGGGCTGTCAATTTAACGCGTTAATAACGCGTTAACGCAAAAAAATAATTAACGCCACTAATTATTTTAACGCGATTAACGCATGTGTATTTTTTGTCCTCGGCCGCCCCGTAGTTTCAGAGCGCATCAAGTTTAAAATACCATCTACAAGCTGATGCTGACAGCCCCGCTCCTGCCGCCCGCTTGTGGCAGACCACACTTCCACGCTCACCGGCAGGCACCGACTGGCTGTTGGGAGGACCGGGAGGGTGTGTGTATGTGTGGCCCGAGCGAGCGAGAGAGAGACCTTACGTGCATTGCTGTTGTTAGCATCTGGTGCTAGCTAGCTGCGCTAACGGATATAAGGAGCTGTTTCAATGAAAACAGAGGAGCGACATTTCGCCACAACTGCGCCGAGCACTTGACTTTATGCAAGAAGCCAGACAGTGGGACATTGTACGAAAAGTCAGCACACTAAGCACAGATAGTGCGCAACATGATTGCAGCGTCCAGGCAGCTCCCGTTCGAGCATATGCCTTGAGTTGCACATAGCTCCAACGATCCAGCACACACACACACACACACACACACCACACACACACACACACACACACACACACACACACACACACACACACACACACACACACACACACACACACACACACACACACACACACACACACACACACACACACACACACACACACACACACACACACACACACACACACACGCACACACACACACACACACACTCTCTCACACACACACACAGGTTGTTGTGTTTAATATTCATGAGAATATTTGTCATTGTTCAAATGATAATAAACATTAGCATAAAGCATATTTGTCCACTCATATGTTGATAAGAGTATTAAAAACTTGAAAAACATTCCTCTAAGGTGCATTTAGAACGGATAAAAAATGTGCGATTAATCGAGATTAAATATTTAATCGACTGACAGCCCTAATTTGAACATATATATTTAAGAAGTACAATATAGGACAAGCAGAAGTTTCATTTGTAGGCCATCATTATACTTCATTACACTTTTTGAATTTGCTGAGGGCCGATTCAAAATGGTCCGTGGGCCGCATTTGGCCCCAAGGTCGTAGTTTAGAAACCCCTGCTTTAATGCATTGAAGTGTGGACACAGCTACAGTAAGACCACACTGTGCAGCAGACTGATCTATATACAGGGGGGGGGGGCACCAGATGTGAGGGTCATGTCAGGTAGTCAGTGTGTGGAGACTCTGCAGGATCAGGTTCTCCCTCGGGGAATAAGTGAGAGTCTGAAGAACCGCATGATGCAGAAAGGACCTCATGTACGTTAAGGATCGAGTTTCAGATGCTGGTCGGAAACTTTCTCCTCCGATGTTTGAGGAAGGGCTTTCTCTGGTGGGATGGGGTTACTCTGTGTGCAATGTTTATTGATCCGTCATTAAACATTAAGCAGGAGGCTGAGAGACGGATGGGAGCAGAGGAGGAGGAGACTGAAGCTGAGTGCAGACCCTCTGATGACTTCTATTTGTGTAATCTGTGTAAATGTGTAAACTGTAGGTTTAAAAGCACTTCCAAAAATGTCAAAAGAAATCTTTGTTAAATGAGAAAAATGTTTGCAAATATACAAAGAATTGATTTGATTTTCTTCAAAAACATTCGTCTATTTTTCACTTTACATGGATATGGATATGTCTCAATGTTTTTGTGTAAATGGATCAAAAATCTGTGTGTTTGTGTAAAATAATGTAAACACCTTCCTCGAATGCAAACAAGTTTCAATACTGAAAATGTAAAAGAAAAAATATTTGTCAACATTTTTCTCACATTTACAATTTCGATCAGGCATTCACGAGCGAAGATCCGCCCGTATCACTCTGCCGTTTTTCAGATAGCACGTGATGGCCTGCTGATGATGACGTAATAAATAAGAGCATGACTTCTGGATACTGCTGTATGTTTGTTATTAAATCCCCAGCAGAAAGTAACATGCATTCCATATTTCATTATGTAAATGTCACACGATGAGTATTAGTGTGTTGATCAGAGGTTTCAGAATCATATACATGTGTATTAATGACTAGATTCTGATTATTGATGCATTAATATGTTTACTACAGCTGGTGAAGGGGGAGCTAACTTTAAATGGTAGCAGAAAATGAAAATACTTGTACAATTGTTCTAAGGTATGATTAATTACAATGCACCACTGGTGTTGTACTGTACACCCCCGCACACACATCTGTCTCTCTCTCACACTACTCTGTTTCCACACACACACACACCCTTTGGTGTTAAGTGATTCATCCTCATTGTTTCTCCTCTTCCCTTTTTCCTTGTCATCTTCTATTACACCATCCCTCTCTTCTTCAGCTCGTATAAACCAGCAGATCTGACAACTCCTAATTAAACGTCGCTGCATTGAATGCTAATGACATTCAGAATTGATTATGAGAATATTACGATTATTTATAAGATTATTTAAGACTTTTATAAGAGACTACAAGGCCTAGGTCCCGCGCACACACACACACACACACACACACACACACACACACACAACACACACACCACACCACACACACACACACACACACACACACACACACACACACACACACACACACACACACACACACACACACACACACACACACACACACACAGAGCTATTAGAGGTGACGCAGCTATTAGAGCTGAAGCAGCTCCACTCAGAGAGATGGAGATCGACCGCTCTGACACCTCAGAGTCTGAGGGGGAGGCTGCATTAATACATATTTATATATATTTATATGTATATGTTTCCTCCATTAGCAGCAATATTCATCCATTAGGTGCAATTATGCAGATGGTAAGGGTTGGAGGTGAAACTTGTACATAATGTTTTCTATCATAGAATCTCTTATTAAGTTGGCATACAAAGATGTATTCTTGTCCCGGATTATGTTTTCTTTTTTATGTATGGTTGACCGAATAACAGACTTTACTATGATGTTGGTAGCAATTTGATCAGCCATTGTATTGAATAAAATAGAAAATATCTTTGTTTTATCATATTTAAATCAGGCAAATTTACCTTTAAATGTATTACAATAGATTTGTGTCTCTATTTTTGGCAAATAAATAAAATATGTCAGGTGATTTATAGACACAGCGTGATGTTATGATTTCTGTATTTAGAAACATGAGGTCAATTATCATTCCTTAAAGGACACCTATCATGCTATATTTAAATGATATATTGTAGGGCCATACCTATATAAGGTATATTTATACGTTTCTGTTTTCAAAATACCAAACAGATCATGCATTTGAGCCATGCCTCATTTCGCTCTATTTGCGCTCTTTTTGCAGGGGGCTGATTCTGTGAGCTGCAGCTGACCACGCCCCCCTGCAGGAGAGGGGAGCCGCTCTGATCAAGTCAGAAGAGGGGGAGAAAAATAGATCTCCGTCATCTGTGTTTTATTATATTACTATAGAGTCGTTATTCATTTGTTTTAAAGCTCAATAAATAACAAAGAAGACCTTTGACCGGCACTTTTCTAAACTCGTTCAGTTCTGTCTCAGTGTCCGACACGGTAACGTAATGTTGTAGACGACAGGTTTGTCACAATCACAATATGTCTTTGGGTGTTGGTATCAATGACAGCTGATGACTGACGGAATAACAGTTGAATAATCAGAATGAACGTCCAGGCTGCATGTGAAGTGTTCCCTGCTATAAATATCTCTATTGAAACTCAAAGCGTCTTCACCTCAGAGCGTCTGTAGGATTAGAGCTGCTGCTGCTATTGGTTTATTAGATTAAAACCACTTCAGCTGCTTCAGACGGCAGGCAGGAACGCTCTCTTCTATTAAACATGCTTTTACTAAAGTCAACAGTCAGATCAACAGTGGAAAGGAAACTGAAAACATCAAATATAATTAAATTCAACATATTCAATATTAACGGATTATTTAAGATAAGATCAAATAAGATGAACCTTTATTAATCCCCGAGGGGAAATTCAGTTGTACAAAGCAGCAACAGCAACATTTAAACCCTTTAAGTAGCTCTGGGGAATATATGGATATAATACGGATATTGTGATATGAGACTAGATATCGGGTTAGATTTTGAATTTCCTAGGTAGCGTGCAGTCATTAGCTTTCAGATTTGACAACAAAACCGCGCCTTTTAACGCAATTTTAAGCTCTTTGAACGTAGGACTGGGCAATATATTGATTTTATATCAATAGTATACTGTATGTGACTTATATATGTCTTGATTATTATAATAAAACTACTGTTGTCTTTTCCTGGTTTTAAACTGCATTGCAGGAAATGTATGTCATTTTAAAATGTATTATTTTACTTTAGACACTAAATTATTATATATGGAGCGAAGCCTGCGAGCTAGTTCAGGCAGTCAACTCGAGCACCAATGATACATTAACACGTGACGCACCTCGTCCCTCTTACAACCAACCAAACACATTCTCCTAAACATGCCGCTCTATTGAAGCTGCCAGGTCTTCCTGCCTCTGCCTCGCTATGCTGCTGCTGCTGCTGCTGCGTTCACTTGCTATTGCTACGTTCATGTTCCTGCTGCTGTGTTTCATGTTGCTGCTGCTCGCCTGCCCCACCACCACCCCAGCTTCCACCCCAGCTTCCACCCCAGCTTCACCCAAGCTCCACCCCAGCTTCCACCCCAGCTTCCACCCCAGCATCCACCCCAGCTTCCACCCCAGCTTCCACCCCACCTTCACCCCAGCTTCCACCCCAGCTTCCACCCCAGCTTCACCCAAGCTCCACCCCAGCTTCCACCCCAGCTTCCACCCCAGCATCCACCCCAGCTTCCACCCCAGCATCCACCCCAGCTTCCACCCCAGCTTCACCCAAGCTCCACCCCAGCTTCCACCCCAGCTTCCACCCAAGCTCCACCCCAGCTTCCACCCCAGCTTCCACCCCAGCATCCACCCCAGCTTCCACCCCAGCTTCCACCCCACCTTCACCCCAGCTTCCACCCCAGCTTCCACCCCAGCTTCACCCAAGCTCCACCCCAGCTTCCACCCCAGCTTCCACCCCAGCATCCACCCCAGCTTCCACCCCAGCATCCACCCCAGCTTCCACCCCAGCTTCCACCCCAGCTTCCACCCCAGCTTCCACCCCACCTTCACCCCAGCTTCCACCCCAGCTTCCACCCCAGCTTCCGCTCCAACTTCCACCCCAGCTCCCGCTCCAGCTTCCACCCCAGCTCCCACCCCAGCTCCACCCCAGCATCCACTCCAGCTTCCACTCCAGCTTCCACCCCAGCTTCCACCCCAGCTTCCCACCCACCACCACCCCAGCTTCCATCCCAGCTTCCACCCCAGCTTCCACCCCCAGCTTCCACCCCAGCTTCCACCCCAGCTTCCATCCCAGCTTTCACCCCAGCTCCACCTCAGCTTCCACCCCAGCTTCCATCCCAGCTTCCACCCCAGCTTCCACCCCCAGCTTCCACCCCAGCTTCCACCCCCAGCTTCCACCCCAGCTTCCACCCCAGCTTTACTGCATTACTGGTGACTATTTATCAAAAATTGCTTTGTGTTAATGTTTAATAAAAGCACAAATTGTAAACCCTACAATTAGTCCCAACAGCTGTTAATAAATGTAGAAATGTATATAAATATCCACTTTTTTATATATTATTGTTTACAGCATGTATTCTACTATTTCATTTTACATTTGTGTATATATATTTGTCTGTATTTGCATATGTGTGCCTATATATAAATATGTTTTGTATGTTTAAGGAGACTTTTTATCGCCACCAACTGCGCTGTAAATGTTGTGCATCTGACAAATAAAGCCTGTAAATCTTTGTAGACGACTCGTGCATGACCTGCTTCAATAAATGTTTTCTGTTGTGCATATCTTACTGTAGAAGACAGAGGGGGGGTTATGGAAGAAGGAGTAGGAGGTGAAGAAGAGCAGGTAGGTGCTGTAGGACCAGGACATGGTGTAGAAGACCAGCTTCCACGCGCTCTCCGGCATCTTGGCAGCATCTTTGGGCAGCAGCCGGCACCACCGAGCCAGAGGCTGCGGAGAGAGAGGAGGAAGGAGAAGTCAGACAGGAAGTCACTCTATATCGAGCTGTGTGTGAGCATGTGGCTGTGTGAGCTGCAGCTGGAGGTGCTTTACACACAATTACTGATTAATTCAGACGGTGTTCCTTTACAGAAATGTGAAATTCAATACACGGCTCTCCATTCCACACGCGGATTCTTTACCGTCCGTTAATGCACCGGAGGGAAATCATTGGGTGTCTCTTTTTATTGGACATGACATGTTTATATTGTTCCATTAGGTGTAGCCTGAGAAGTATTTCTGCAGACTCAAATACTATCTAAGAAGAATGAGCAGGAACATTTTGAGGGGAATTGTTATAAAGGGACGGTAGTTGTTGCAATAACTCAACAACAAACAACAACAACATTTTTAAATAATAATAATTTAAAAAAAATTATATTAAAAAGATGTACCTCAAAGATTGGTGACATCCTCCTGGATCAATATTTTTTTTAATACACGTTAACATTATTTTTTGGGCATTTTAATTGTCTCAATTGTATGTTTTATATATGTTTGAATCGATAAAGACAACATCTTTTAAATGTCTTGGGAGAGGGAACTTCCTTAGTTGCTCTCCTCGAGGTTTAAAACATGTATCGTTATCTTGACATGGGAAAATAATAGAGCTATAGTCATGTAAATCCATGAGAGGAGGCCTCATGATCTGCAAACCCATTAAATCCACACACAGTAAGATGTTATGTTGCTGGTGTTTATCAAAGTGTTTCCTGGTTACTGCGAGGGTCTGAGGAAAGAGTTTAGAAAAACACTAGACCTCCTGAAGGCCAATGATAGACTCACACTTTCCTTAGACAGTCACGTTTTCCTGGAAATGGGAAGTTCTTTTACTTCTGTGTGTTTGTGAGCTTTAATGCAGAAACAACATGGACGCTACAAAGAAGATGTGTTGTAGGCCTATTTAAATGTGTATACAGTATAATGTCAATACACTAGCAGACATGCATCCCACGTAGTCCCTTAATTACCACGTATTGATCCAGGGTGCAACATTTTGAATTGTCTATACCAGGGGGTCAAACTCAAATACACAGTGGGCCAAAATATAAAAAGGGTACTAGTCGAGGGCCGGGCCGGACTGGTTCAATGTTTATTGCAAAACGTATTGAAATGAACTTATTGCACATATTAAACCTGGAACTAACACAGCTTAAATTATTGCCTATAAAAACAACATTAAATCATCAGTTGCATTCATTCCTTATGGCTCTATCTGCAGCTTTTCCAGAGTCATTTCTTATGATACAATTTTTCCACAGGCCAACAACAGCTTCAACAAAACTATTCCCTCAAAGAGAAAACCAAACATGCCCTGTTGTCCTGAGAGAGAAAGTGCAGAAGGAAACATCCATTAAACTCAGTGCTGCTCTGTGTTGCTAGTTCAGATACTTGGCATCTCATCTTGGGTGCAAGGTCATCAATGTTTGGGCTCAGGCTCTGAGCGGAGGAGACCCTCAGGATGGAGTGAAAGTATGCGTGCAATATACCGGCGGGCCAGATCTAATAGGAATTAGAAATGATCCTGCAGGCCGAAATTAAATCCACCACGGGCCTGATTTGGCCCCCGGGCCTTGAGTTTGACACATGTGGTCTATACAGTGTTTACGTAAAGACAAAGATTGACGTTCATGTCAATTTTCTAAGTGCAGGAATGCCGTTTTCTGATTATTTCTGACACCACATGAAGCCTACGTGTATATATCTCAATGTTGACAGGAGGGAAACTGAGCTTGTGATTCAGATCATGGCCAATGGTACAGCCTTACACCAGGTTTCAAGAACATTCGGGGAGTAGTTTTCTGTAAAAGCTCCTGAAGGATAAACAGACGAACCGGGCCAGAAACATGATCTCATTGGTCAAAGATCACCTAGGAATCCTGGATTGAATCACAACACAGGTGTTTACCTCCTTTGTGTGAAGCAAATGGAAGAGCAAAACCGTTTTTGACCGCAGTGCACATATTGTTTTTGAAATGCTAAATGGATATGGATTCTCTTAAATAACAACGTGCTGTTGATTGTCTGAATCGTACACAGCCTTGGATATATCGGCAACGATGCACAAATGACGGGTTCAAACAGAATGAATTTACGCATCCTTATGAATGAAGCTTCAAACTCTTCAGTACAGATGTGGTTTTATATGTGTTTGTGGTGAACTTGCACACATGCATCCCACGTAGAACCAGAATTACCACGTTTGTATCCAGGGTGCAGGGGCGGTTCTAGGGGGGGCAGTGCCCCCCTAACACTGACCTCTGACCCCCCTGTGGCCCCCCTAACAATTAAAAGTTTTTTTTTTGTTTTTTTTACATGTATATTTTCTGGTACTCGGTTTGCCAAAAACCGCAGGATTTTGTTGCTGTAATGTGAGATTGTGCAGACACCGTTATGTAAAGTAGAGATGTAACTGTTCATTGCCTTTATTTTTATATAAATATGGTCTTAGTGCAAACATTGCACTATAACTTAAGCTGAAGCTAACAGTAATAACTATAAGATCTATCTGAAATAAATAAGTGTACTGAAACAAATACCAATAACTGTATTGCATTGTTTTCTTATGCGCAATTACTTCATACTGTCTAGTTCTCTTTTTCGTCCTGCATTTATTGTGCCCCCCTCAGAAAATAACTGGCCCCCCAGTGGCCCCCCCAGTCAAATTGGTCTAAAACCGCCACTGCCAGGGTGCAACATGTTTCGTCTATCGGCCACATAGCTAGAGGTGTTCAAAGTTCGATAGATAAGCTTGGTCTTTATGGCTGGTGAGCGATGCACAGATATTAGCCACTTGCATATTATACCAGCATTTGGACAGTAAATGTTGCAGAAAGTTATATCTTTGCGATTTAAGTCTATGCTACTAAGTCATAATTCTCATGATCATGGAAACACACATATAATTATTATGATGTGATAGGATCTAACAATCAAATGTTTCTTTAAGTCTATAGAATATGATTTGTAGGCTTGGATATCTTTGCAGACCGACAATACTTCATTCAAAATGGCATTTCATATGAATTTAACCATATTGTGATTTTAGTAACATTTTGATTAATTGTGCTGCCTTAAAGACATACATCCTCTATACCTTAGAGGTATTTAATAAGAAACCCATGATTGTTTGTTCATATAGTTGTGCATGTTGGGTGTTGATTGAAAGTGTAATATGACCCTGTTTAAGCAACATGTTTTAGATTAGATTATATTCTTTTTGTTGTCTGAGTACAGCGAAATTCCAAGCATTCCCGAAGGTGCAATCACAACAATTAAACACCACTTTAAATGGAAGATCCCCATAGGCCCCGCCCACTCGATCGGTATCGGCCGATACTGATTCCGGCCCCAAAATTGTCGATCGGAGCATCCCTAATATAGAGTGACTATAGATTGGACCTATGATACATTGAAGAGTACGCTTACAAAACAATACGACATTACCATACAAATACAAGAACAATACGGTCAAGGCAGTACAACAAACAAGTCAGTAAGTAAGTTATTGCACATGTATTTATCAGTGCAGTTGATAATTGCAAAACTAGAAGTAAATATGTGTTCTATGTCAGATTACTATTGGCCTGTAACTCAGCACTATTAACAGTGACAGGATGTTGCTGTTAATAACAGATATAGCAGATGTTGTTTTTACACATGCATACAACTCAATAACCCTGGTGCATGTCTTCCTCTCTGTACGTCGCTCTGTTCCTCACACAAAGGCCATCATCAGAAAGCTTCATTAGCGCCATGTAACCGTCGTCTGCCCACAGAATGTCTTTCACAAGACTGCATTTCGCTCTGCAGGCAGAAAACGGGAAGTGGGAGAGAAGGCTTCTGACTTCTGTAGTGAAAGATTTGTATTTATTCATGTTAGCAAACTATGGATAAGCTTAAAATGGGAATAATTTGGGTGAAACTGTGAGCTGGATTTGGGGCCTGTTGACATGTGTTTTTGAGGACAAAGGAAGATGGGGGAAGGTGAGAGCATGTCTTGATTTGCATTCAACTTATCTAGCTACAGTGGTTGGGGAAACCTAAGGTCGGAGGTGTCTGTGATATTTGGGCTGCCAATCAATGAGCTCCAAATGGGAGGATCTGATAACTCCTCCCATTGTCAAAGAGTATAAACACAGACACACACGCGGTGTTCAGCCTCTTTCCTCTGGCTGGCTCACGTGCAGGTAAATTCGGGATCCCAAAGATTAACTGTATTGAATTTGTACTGTATTGATTGTATTGTATTGTCATATTACCATTAAAGTAGATTATTGTTTACTTGGTAGCTCTGGATTTCTTCCTGTATTAACCAGCTTGATAGGGACGCGCAGAGATTTGAAAAGCGGACCAGATATCCCTTTTAATCTCTAACACTTCCTAATCTGCCGCCTGATAACGGGCGACCCCCCCCCCCCTATCTTCCTCTAAACCCACCCCGCTGTCGCTGACTTCTTAACAGGCAAGAGAAGAAACGTATGTCTCAATAAACTGACCAAAATAATGATATCATGATCTAAGAAGTTGCATCACAGATAGAAAACACAATGAGAATAATAAATAATCTAATTATGTTTGATAAAGTTATTATAAATCATAAAGCCCTCTTGCAAAAAGAAAGAAATATATATGAAAAATTAAATGTTAATTAAATGTTATTATGAATATGGAAAACATCAATTTGAGTAAGTTATTAATAAATGATCGAATTATATTTGATAAGGTTATTATAATATAAATAATAATTAATACTATTATTATGATAAGGCCCCTCTTGAACAATTAAAGCATACGTAAAAATATATATATATTAAAATAATAAAAATATAATAATTTAAATTAAATTAACAATAATAACAATATATTTTAAAGAGCTCTTTTGATGGTATGTTAAGAAACTTTACATGTACAGGATTAAATTAATTAATTAAATGTATTTAGGTTTGACT